TAATGCAAACAGGTCTGGGAGTCGCTGCTCAAACAGCACATTAATCTGTGGTAATGGCAAACACGTCTGCTGCGGTGCCTGCAGCGATTCCTGCGTCACACCGTGCTTGTAAAAGGGCACAATGACACGTCTGGATAATAAGCCTGGTTGTTTGCCTTTATTGTTATTTGTACTGAGCCAGCCTCAGTGTTTTCTCGCTTCCATCTACGAGGCAGCAGCAGCGAAAGGGAAAAACAATCAGGAAGATTCAAATCTTTTTGTAGATGCCGTGCCAGTTCGAGTGAAATAGGATATAGCCACAGGGCTTGATTTCAGAAGCAATGTATGCTAAAGCATGGCGAAATGTTTCCATTTTTCTCGAGTGTTATAAATCTCAAGGAGGTTATTTAGATACAGACAGCTCCAATTTGTCCATTCAAAAGCAAAACTCCAGCTTTATCAAAACCCACAAGGGGAATGAATAACTCTGAACTTACTTTTGGTTTCACCGTTTATATGGGCACAGTGTAAGACCCAACCCAATTTGTCATTAATTCAGCTGGAATTATTTAATTTAGCGAGATGGATAAAACCCTCATATAAAAACTTACTTGTCTGGGACTCCAAAGTTTGATTAGTGTGTACTTCTGCTCTCTCTTGCATTTTAATTCACATTCACACTCACCTCTCTGACAATGCTACGAGGAAAAGTTTGGCTCCTTCACTGGCAGTGAGGCCACAATATTTATTTATGTGGTCCAGACGTTCCATCCCTCTCCTCCAGGACCTGTGATTCAATTAATTCTGCTGGTTTTATCTGGAATCCCTTTGCTCCACTGCAGCGAAACTGCACTCACTAAACTTAAATATTGAACATCTTCACTGCCAACCAATTTGTTATTCTTGAAAGATTTCCACGACAATTCTATTCCTATTAAACCTTCCTGCAAAACATAAACATCTCAGACTGTATCTTCCACCATGCCTATTAATCCAAATAATTAGATTTATCTGAAGAAACTGCAAGAGGAAAAAACACAGTAACTAACTTGCCTGTATCAGCACTTTAAGATTTGGATATTTTGGTTATTTTATAAATTGTTATGGAAAGGCAAAAGGAAATACTGGAAATTAAGAAAGAGTTGTCATATGGACTCTGCTGTAACATCAATGTGTAAACTTTGAAAAATACCAACACTTTACAATCTTGTACATCATATAACCTTATAATCATGGCTCTGCACTTTGGTGAAAAAAGAATTTGAGATAAATCAAAGTTTTTGCATGCAACAAGATGGGGAGGAAACCACTGTAGAGCACATTTCATCAGTAACTTCCCTAAAACATTGCCCAGGTTCATTTTCCCTTAATGAAATTGCACCTTCTTTCTTTCATAATTAACAACCAAGACCTGGCAAATGGCTTTCCTGGATCCCAAAAGTGTAGGAGTCACTGCCTGTATCAAAGGGTGCTGCAGCCCAGTAAATTCCTGACTGGAGTGCTGCAGCTGCTTCTGTAATTCCAACAATGTTTTCAGTGTCAGAATTTGATTCCCTATCGAGCCTGCTCTGAGTGCTCTTGTCTTTCCAGAAGAGTTGTTTGAAAATGCAGTTTTCTTTATGATTATTATCTTTTCTCTGTATCCATCATAGAAAAGGTGATAAGACCTTACAGAAGTGGTTTTTCCCCCACCTTTATGTGTGGTGGAGCAGTGGGGTTTTTAAACACAGAAAATTTTCAAAATCTGCAAATACTTAAAAGACGTCATGGGAATTGCTGCACGTGCCATAAGCACATTTGGGGACTATGGTAGGAAGAGGTATCCATAATGACCTAATTAGATGTCATCAAATACACTGAAAATTAAAGATGTGAGTAAACTAAAAGGCCTATTCGTTCAAGCAAACAAACAAACAAAAGGCGTACAGTTCTACAGAAACAAGAATGTAATGTATAACAAGGTGGAACTAATTTTCAATTTTATGGGGAAGATGTAATTTATAACCCTGAGTAACAGAGATATTATTAGAAGGTTCATTTCTGGTTGCACTGCCGAATCAGCAGTGCATTCTACTCCCTAAAAAAGCTCTTGCCTCAGACTTTGGGAGATCAATAATACATTGTGGTTCTCTCAGTGTACATGTTGGAGTTAAGGTCAGTGTGTGTGAGTGTTTCTCTCCTAAAAAATCCTAAGGCAGGTGTCTCTGTCCAAACATTACAAAGTATTTTACATTGCATTAAATTACAAGCACTACAAAGTATTTTTAGGACCAGTGAATCCTGAGTGCTGCACGGAAAAGGTGTTTGAAATTTATTGCAAATCTATTCTTGGTCAGTGCCTTAATTAAAATGTTTGCTTTGATCACCTTAAACAACACACGGTAGTGAATGATGGTTCAAAGGACCAGCATGTTAATGAAAAAGTAATGGCTTTTTCTTTTAAAGGAAGTCACAGTTTTACTATAATTAACACTATCATGATACATTAAAGATAAATCATGCAGAAGTAACTACACAAAGAGGAAAGGACAACCTATCTAACTGAATGCTATTTCTTTTTTGTTTGTTTTTTTTATTAACAGAAAGATGATCCCTTTATTTAAGAAAACAACAATGAAAACGGAATGGATATTCCTCTGTTCACAGGATGGATCACATTGTGGTAAGTTTTAAGAATAGGAATGTATGGAATTCCCTGCTTCTCCAGAAACACTCTCTCTAGAAATCCGAGTATGAAGGTACTCAAACTGTGGCTCCTTTTCTTTATCTGACCTGGTGCAACTATCCCTTTCAAAATTTATTACTTCAGTGTTTACTGTACTAAATGGTTTTACATTTGGGGAGGGGGGAGAGAAGTGGATATATAAATAGGACTCTAATTTTTATATTTAATTATCTTTGCCATCCTCTATTCTGTGGAGCATGTTTGCATACATCTGAAAAATTGAAGCACAGTGGTTAAGATTTTATTTGGAGTTCACTATAACACACAAGGTTATAAAAATTTAACCTGTGTGTAGATGAAGGAGCATTCTTTATGCCAAGTTGTTCCCCTGGAAATTCTGTAGCCAATTAAGAGCTGGTGAAGGGACACTCTGGAGGGAATGTCACCCATCCTTTTCACTGCTTGGTTCCCTCACAGTTTCCTGTGGCTCGTGGAGTCCAAGCAGAGGAGGAGGCAAAGCTGTGCTTTGCACGTGGAAGGAAAACCTTCACAGATTTGGTCTGTACTCCTGTCACATCTCTCACTGCCTCCTCTCTGTATGCAGCTCCAGGCTGGCAGGACATGTGAGAGCAGCACAAGTGGTGAGTCAGACCTTCCAAGCTCCTTGAGGCGGGCACTGGGTTCTGTCAATGGCACCTAAGGATGTGGAACGTGCAGTGTGGCCACTTGCTGTGTCACCTTGACCCGTGGGACCTTTATCCCTGCTGTCCTGCACTCGTATTCCATGGCAGGCAGCTTAGGAGCCATGTCACTGTGTACCAAGAGCTGCAGAGGAGTTCAAGTCTGAGTCCTCACCCATCACCCCAAAAATCTAACCTTGCAATTAGCGCTACTTCATTTTCAACCTTGTTAGTTCCAAAACAGAACAGTATTGAGACTCCTGGAATCAGAGTAGTTTGGGTTCTCTTTTCACCTCCCCTGGAACTTAGGGCAAAATTTTAATCACTATTTCACCGCTGTGAAATATTGCCTGAAGCTTTTCCTGATGACCTTCTGTTTGAATTAAGGCTTTCCTTATAAGATATTAATGCAGCCAAATATGGGAAATATTGCAATGTGTTGGGCTCACTGTAATCTGAAAAGATCCTTCTAAATACCCACAAATACTTATTTCTGTGTTGGCTTTGCTCATTTGCTCATTGAACAACTCCTTCGGAAATAATCCTTAAATTAATAATTTTTAAAACAGCCTTTATTCTCACATTACAAAGTAAGTGTTTTCATACAAAGCCTTTCTGAACATCCATTTAGGTGCCTCAGCGGGAACTTTGGTGTTCTCTGGTATGGAATGTTGTAGCTGCACTACCCATGGACTTCAATGGGATTTTCAAACACTCAGAAGCCATGGCAATCAGCTTTTTTTTTTTTTTTTCCCCTTTTCTTTCCTACCTGTGGATTTAGACACCTGATTTGAGGGATTCACATTCAGAAATAACTGATATGGGTATGTTTGGTTTTGTTTTTGTTTTTTTTCCCCCATGTCTTTTTAGAAATCAAAAAATTGAAATGCTCGGTGAAGAAAAAAAAAAAAAAAAAAAAAAAGCGCGAACGTCGCGAGGACGCCCGGCCCGGCTCGTGCCCGCTCCGCTCGTGCTTATCTCGCGCTTATCTCGTGCTTATCTCGCGCTTATCTCGTGCTTATCTCGTGCTTATCTCGCGCTTATCTCGTGCTTATCTCGTGCTTATCTCGCGCTTATCTCGCGCCTGCCTCGCGCATCCCCTCAGAGAACTCCGGGCAGCGATGCCAGCGGCATCCCCGGGACGGCCCTGCGGGATGGAGAAGGCGCCTCTGAAGGCCCGCACCCCGCTGGAAGCGCGGCCCTCGGCGCTGGGAGCGCACTCCCGGGGATGCGTGTTCCGCCTTTCCTTGTCGAACAACCCCCTCTAGCGCCGAGCCCGCCGCGCTCGCCCCGCGGGCCGCGGGCACCGGGCGAGGCGAGGGGCGCCTGCCCCCTCCCTCAGGCGCCGCGCCAGCCCCGCATTCCCCTCAGGCGGGCGGGCCGGGAGGGGCGGCCGCTCCTGCGCTCCACATCCCTCCCTGCATCCATCCATCCCTCCCTGCATCCATCCATCCCTCCCTGCATCCATCCATCCATCCCTCCGTCCATCCATCCGTCCCTCCCTCCGTCCGTCCCCGCCGCCCCCGCTGGCTGGCGGGGCTCGCTGCCGGAGCGCCCCCGGCGCGGGGCCGCGCTGGCTCCCGGCGGACCCGGCCCCAGCCGCGCTGGGCCCCGCGGCCGCCCCGCAGGAGGAGGAGGAGGAGGAGGAGGAGAAGGGAAGAAGGCGACGAGAGCGCTCCCGCGGGCGGCAGCGGAGCGGCGGCACCGAAAAACTGCGGCACGCAAATCAGGAGGGAGCAGCGAGCATCACACCAGAGCCGCCCGGTTTCTGATTGCTCCGCGGCAGCAGCGGGGAGAGGCGCACGCACTGAGAGAGAGAGACGGGCGAGCGGCGGAGACGGAGGGAGCGGCGGCGGGAGGAGGTTTCGGCGATGCCGCCCTGCAAGTTTTTCCTGGTGCGTTCGGGAGCGTGAAGAAGGTGCGCCGGCGTTTACCACCCTCCTGCCCCCGGAGCCCGGCGGGGCCGGGGCGAGACATTCTAACCGTGGGAAGCTGAAGCCCCTCGGCGCTGCCTCCGGCCGGGGATGCGGGGCACCGTGAGGCGCGGCAGGGCGAGGAGGCTGCGCCCGCCGAAGAGGCTGCTGATGCTGCCAGCGGCGCTCCTGAGGGGCTGAAGGTGCCACCGGGCAGAACCGGCGGAGGGAGCGGGGCGAGACCTCCTCCTCCTCGCCGCCACCGCCTCGAAGTTGCCGGAGCTCTCCCCGTCCCCAGGGCGGCTGCCGTGCCCCGGGACACCGCCGGTGGATGCGCCCGCCCCGGCCCGGGCAGCCCCCGGCGGCACCGCGGGCAGCGAGGGCAGCTCATCCCGCGTCCCCCCCGCGCCGGCCTGAAGGAGGACGGGCGGCCCCGGAGAGCCGAGGACGCGGGGGGCACCAGCCATGGGGAGTTGTGAGGCGAAAGGATTATTGCTCTGGAGAATCGGCGTTTTCCTGCCCCTGCTGACAGCGCACCCCACCGCCGCCGGGCACGTCGCCAGCAACCACGGTAAGAGGGGACAGACGAGGGGAGAGCGCGGGTCTGGGATCGCCGCAACTTTGCGGCGGGGTGCGGGGATGGAGGGAGCGGGTCCGCCTCGGCTCGGTGGCCATCCTCTCGCGGGGGCACGGGGATGCGGGACCGGGCGCCGCCCGGAGGCCACCGCTCCCCGCAGCCTGCGCCCCGCACGAGTTGGGTGTTTGGGGACAGAGGGGCTCTGCTGCCCATCCTGCCCCGCCAGGGCGAGGGGCTGTCCCCGCTCAGCGGGATAACGCCCGGGATAACGCCCCGGAGCTGTCCACGGTCAGCCCGGTCACCCCCGGCCGCCGGGGCTCGGGAGGAGCGGCGCGACACCCAAAGTTGCCTCCCGGTGTGGAGGAGCGGTAGCATCCTTTCCCTCGAAATGTGGGTTTAAGGTTTACCTTAAAAAGGTTTACCCTGGAAAGGTTTACCCTGGAAAGCTTTACCTTGGAAAGCTTTACCTTGGGAAGCTTTACCTTGCCCAGCGCAGAGCACCCTCGGCACGGGTTTGGGAGAGCTCATCGCGCCTGAAGGGAAATCGCTGCTTGTCCGCGAACTGCCCGGAGGTGCCTGGCTGTCCTTAACAACCAAATTTTAACATCCGATTGTCCGGGAAAAACTCCCGTTTAAAACCCCTGTGGGAGGTGCGTGCCCACCAGGTCTTGCCGGTGTCGATGTGTTGATTCGTGTTGTGAGGTGTGTGCGTGTAAGAGAAATGCCTCTGGGTTGAGAAGGGACTCATTCTGTTTGTAAAGATGAAAAAGCACAGCACACCCAGAGGTTATAAAGCGTGGTTCGGGAGGACTGAGAAAAACGAGCCCAGACCTGATTGTGGAGCGTTACATGTTATCAAACACCTGGTAGAGCAGGGTGTTTCCTTAACGGCTTGGTTTCTGTACGTCTCTGTGTCTAGGTTATAGAGGATACATCTATTCCTAAATTATGGCAACCTTGCATACTTTTAATATTTTTTTTGTACAGTTTTGCTTTTCTGAGGTTTTAGTGTGATGTGACTGAAATGTGGGAATTGAGGGGTAGCTCTGAATGTTGCTTCTGCCAGAAATTATTTTACCTGCTGTACTGAAAGGAGTGCTGAAAAGGGCTGTGGTGGAAATGATGGTGAAAAAAACAAGCTGGGCTTAGCCTTGGAGTGCTATCAAATACATGGTTCATATATTTTCACATTTTTGTTCTACGGTCTATTTTCAGTGTTCATTTTATCCACCTGAGTAAGAGTGAAAACAGAGAATAAAATACCTTGAAAACAGGAAAGTGTGGCAGTGTGGCCACAAATACCCCGTGTTGTGGCAGGGACATTCCAAGTTACTGTTGTTCCTTTACCTCTTCTATGCTGAATGTGATGAATAATTCCAGTTTATAATTGTGTACAATAGAGTCATATCAGTGCTATACTAGATTTTGCCCTTTCTCATGGCTTAGGGGACATCAGACCCTCACAGTAGCACAGGACAGTCTTCCTTTTATGTCACAGACATCAGTGCATTCCCAGATCTGCTACATTACCACAGGGCCTTACAAGACACAGGAATGCAGCTTGAAAAATAATCTATTCAAGGCATTCTAGGCATCCAAGGCAAAGGATTTTGAGCAAGTTGGGCTAGGTTTTTAAACTAGTATTTGATACTCTAGGATTAAATTATTAATTACTGTTTTAAAAAGCAAGTGAAAAAGGGTGAAAATAGTTGCCAAAACAATTTAGCTCAGAGAAAATTCTGCCAAGGATGAAGTGGGTTTTTGATGTTGACATAACTTTTCCCAACAAGTTCTGCATAGAGTACCGATGAGTTACCTGACCTCTGAATTACCTTCTCTTTCTTGCTTCAAAACTTCCAATAAAAGGAGTAACCTCTTATCTTTGGTACGGTTGTTGTACCATACAAGTCAAATAATAAATCTAACCCAAAAACCCAGGTGAACTGAAAACTGAGGGAATTAATACAGGTGCTTTAATGTGCACAACCCCACCTGATTACCAAAATTCTAGCAAGAAGAAGAGTCTCCTTTTAGTGATGACTTTCTCCAAATCTAGGAATTGAATGAAAGAAAACTACTACAATGAAAACGTTGCCTCCCTGTGGAAGCACTTCAATGTGCACCTTTAAAATGCCATTTACCAGCGTTTGGAGTCCCAGCTGACAGAGGATCTTTTAAAATCTAGTGGGGAAACATAGTCTCTTAAATTTTCATAAAGTGATATTTTCATCAGGCACCTCTTGGAAACATCTTTGCAACAATTGCTGTTGGGCTTTCACAAGTAATTATAATATAAAGCTTGGGTTTACTGTCTGGTATATTTGGGCTTCTAGTTTGTTTTTAGAAACACATCAGCACTGATAATAAATTGAAAAGGGATGTTTTGTTTGGGTTTCTTGATTGTTTGAGGGAAAAGGATGGAAGGGGAATAGGTTTATTAATCTGACTTGGTAAACAGACAGCCCTTCCACCTAACTCTTACTGGTTTATTTCCTGTTATTAAAGAGGGATTTTCAAAACATTAACATAATCCCATTTTATAAATTGGTATTGTAACTATGCTGGGATTAATCTTTTTGTTCCCATCAAACAGAAAGAAATATATACTTTTGTTTGGTTGGTTGGTTGGTTTTGGTTTTTGTTTTTTTGTACAGTTCCAAGGCTCTTAGGTTGTCTCTCTTCAGCCAGTAAATCAATGTGTGGTGCCTTGCAGTATCTGTAACAATACTATTGACAGGAAAGCAAACTTATTCATTCATCTTAATGGAGGGCTAAATTCAAAACCAGATTATGACCATGTCAAGGGTGAGTTTTTCCTGCTAAGGAAAACCCTGTAGGGGTTCTGGGTGACCAGAGTGCCTGGAACAGCTCCATCAGTGGGGTAGGTTGAGTGCTTGCCCATCAGGGTTACATTTCCAGCAGCTGTCCCTGCCACCCAGCATGAACCAGCATTACTAGGCAAGATCTCTGCCTGTGCTGTAGCTCTGCTCTGTGATTGCCAATTGCTCTAAAACCTCGATTTACAGACAAGAGCCTCTGCAGAGCAGTGCAGTTCTTTGTGCAGGACAGGGGGAGCCTTTCAGTGAAGGTCCCCTCAGGTGACAGCTGGGCGGTCCCTGTGCTCTCTGTGCACACTTAGATGTTTTGGATTACGTAAACCAGAAGGAATTTTTGCCCCGTGGCTTCTTTCAGGTTCTGTCTGCCCTTATGAGTCACCACACAATTAATGCCTGAAGTAAATGTAGGCCTTGCAGAGTTCACAACACGTTGTGTCCATCAGTGAACCGTAAAGGGAAGCTGTTGCTGTTTCAGTTAGCAGATACCCTTACATCTTGTCAGGTTGTGCAAGGCTGGCTTTTTCAGGCATACCTCTGAAAGGCATCTGCATTCATCTTCTTCCTCTTGGGAAGAAGCTGAGGTAAGAAATAATGCCATCAGGCGTCAGTTCTCAAATTCACATCGCCTTTATTTTCACAGTAATGACCCTTGATGTAAACTGGGCAGCTCAGAGTAAAGTCATTTCATTCCGGCATTAAAATATCAGACATCAGATTAATAATGACCTTAAGTTCTTCACAGTTGAAAGGCGTTGGCTCGTTTGGACTCACATATTTACTTTTATATAAGTGCAATCCCCCACAGAGAAGAGCCCTGTCTGAATACAGCACTCAGAGTTTTCCTGTAGCAATGGGGAGACCAAGGACTAAGTGTTTGGAGTGACTGAACTTCCCTCTGAATGAAGCTGCTGTTTTTCTGCTAGAGGGTATCTCTCATTTTGAGCACTTAAAGCACTGTAAAGAAGGCTGTGCTGCTGCCTGGGTCGTGTTCATCCTGCTGTTGAGTTGTCCAGCTAACATGTTTTATAAGCAACCCTGCAGAAAAATTAGCAAATTTGATAAACAAAGCTTTTAGATGTCCCCCAAATGGTTTACAAAGGAAAAAGAGGGAAGGAAAGAGCATGCAGTAAATGAATATTTTTCCTAAGAAAATCTCCTCTTTGTTTCCAGATATGTGTTTCTAGATCTGAACTCTACTTAAGGGTTTGTTTAGGATATCTGAGGTTGGACTTTTCACTTGAGAATTTTAGAAAAGTCTAAAACTTCAGTAGGCTGTTTGTCAGTGAGACACAGAGCAAGTCTGTATCCATTTGGTTGGCTGTTTTCTTTTTAAAATTAAGAGTGTAGCAGGTTTAAAATCTCCTTTAACTGATTAGGGGTAGTTAGAAAATTATAAATATGTGCAATAGGAGAAGCATTTTATTGTTATTTTTTCCAAATACAACCTAGCTATGCTAGGATATATCCTATTCCAGCTGTGCATATTTCCATTAGGATCCCTGGGCTTCTCTACCTTGGCACTGACACAAAGAACAGACTGGCCTTTTGCTTTATAAGCCTGTTAACATCTGACCTCTGTGACAGAGGGAATGGTAAATACTGTGGGAATAGACAAGTAGGTAAATAAATTCTTTACCCAAAATCCATCCTGACCTCAGGGAGCCACATTATCATGCAGAAGAAGCCAACAAACAACCACCTGTTGTGAATAAGTGCATCTTCAGAAGCTGGTTCTGAACCTGCAAATGAAATGTCAATCTTCAGGCCGAGGTGCTGCAGCTGAGAATTGCTGCTGAGAAGGTTTCTCTTACATGATAAAAACATGAAACTCTTTGCAGGGTTTCATTCTGGACCTTACAAAAGCAGGAAAAATTTAAGAGATGTATTCTTTAGCTGATTCATTTCCATTCTAATCCCCTTAGTTAGTCCTCCAGTCCAACACTTATTCCAGTTGCAGGGATGCTTCCATTATCAGTCTTGCAGCACCTTTTGTGCAGGTAGGCTATTGATCATTCCCACATCTAAGAACAAGTCTGCTCAAAAGAATCATTAAAGAGAAGTCACCTCCATTAATTTGGCAGCCCTTTGTAACCTGAGCACTAATTTTAATGTGTTACAGCACATTAAGCTTCGAGGCCAGTCTTGGCTTTAAATTAG